ATCTATATGAAAGCAAAGGGGCGGAGACAAGTGGAATTAGTCAAGAAAGCTTTCAAAACTGCATTTTTATGATTGAATCGCGTACCAAAAAAAAACCCATCTTTCCCTAAAACATTTCAATTACAAAGATAATTTTACTTAATGTCTGTACCCCGAATAAAATTGTTGATTGCCAGGTGCTTTTTAGGAATATATTAACACTCAAACGCGTACTTTTTTGATTTTATTCAATTCGTTTTTTTTTATCTTTAATTTATTCTCTCCAATTTCCAAGTCATTCCTTCAAATCATCCACCCCACCTCTAAGCATGCAAATAAGCAATTAAGTAATAAAGTGAGTAACAAATTTTATATTACGAGAGCCTTATAATGTTGCTTAGAAGTATCCTCCTGGAGAATTTAATTTACCGTAAATCGCGGTGTATAGTACCCCCCCCCCTTTCAATAAATCCAAGAAATTTAAACTTCAATTTAATCCGACTTTTTCTAATAGAATAAAAATATTTGTTTCGCAAACAAATAAATTTAAATTCACAGTGTAATTTCTTAATAATAATTTGATAGCCTTGAGGTTAAATTGAGGTCTAAATTTTTACAAAAAAAGGGGGGGGGTGTACTATACACCTCGATTTACGGTATTCCAAACAAGAAATGCAACTTTTATTACTAAAGAAATTGGCAGTGTTTTTTTACAAGGAGGGTACTTGAGAGCAGAAACTCGATGAGATCAAGCAAACATTATACATTGAAGGACAGCATAAAAACATCAACTTCTAAGCGACATTGTAAAAGAGAATTAGAAATTAAGTTTTAGCCAAATAATAGTTTTATGATTCGGCCAAAACTTTAATTTCTAATTCTCATGTAAAGGTAAGGGTTACTCCGCATTATAAAAAACGTGGCTATTTGTGCTACCGAACTTTGCAAAACTTACACACGATGATTAATATGATTAATAAGCAATCGATATGTCAGCAAACCATAAATAGAAAAAAATTTCACATAATAACAATTAATTTTTTGCAACTATGGTTAATTAAAAACGAAGAATCTACTCCAACAAACAAAACATAATTCTCAGCAGCAAAGAGAGGAATCTTTTAAAAATCGACGACTACTTCAACACAGGCTTGTATAAATTACATTTACTTAATTAAAAACCTACCTATTTGTAAGCACAAGAACAATCCCTTTAAAGATTCTAATTTTCTAGAACAATTATGTTTTATAAAGAGGGCCAACTGTATATAATATACTTTTTTTATATAAAGTATTTGATATTACAGTCGACGCTTGATAAACCGGCCGCTTTGGCCAAACACCAATATGGTCGTTTTATCGCGTATTTTTCCTAAATCGCGGTTTTCTACTTCACGTGAAAATTCGATTCATCGAAAAATTCGCTTTATGAGAGTCATTTTACCGAAATTATGTATAAGTCACATGTAACTTACGTTAAATTACAGAAAATTCAATATGGGACTTCTTACGCTCGGCACGCCCCTTACTTGGGAACAAGCAAAACAATATGCGGATTACGTTCGAGCACATGGCATAGATCAATTTCTAACAATCTATCATAAGTTAAAAAATAAGCAGACAGCTTGCTTGTTATGGGGTGATGAAGTAAGATTTTCTTAATTTTTTTCGGTTATTTGCTTTTACTCATGCAATTTTGGTGCGATTAAACAAAAAATCGTAGGTCGAATATGTGGTAATTGAATATGACGACGAAAATAAAAATGCCAAATTATCTTTAAGAGTATTCGATCTCCTTAAAGAACTGCAAAAAGAGGAAGAGGCGGCTCTGGATAATCCCACTATAGGGTATATTTTTAATTTAATTCGTTAACTTTAAAACAAGCTTTATATAAATATCTTCCTTTATAGGAGAACGGCTTCTTGGCGACCCGAATTCGGAAGATATATGCTTGAAGGTAATTATTTATTATATTGATTCGTTTACCAATTTGCGCTAAATAAGTTATCTTGATATGGCGGAAAGGTACACCAAGTAGTCCATACGGAAATACCATGCAAGACCTTCTTGAGGTGGAACGAAACATGAAATTGCGGAGAGAAATCGCAAAAAATTACATGAAACCTAATGAAGTGGCAGTTACGGTGACTAGTTTTCCACGTCTCGGCGCTCCTGGTGTGTTTACGGAACCTTACTATCCACCAACCGGAGATGCATCAAGAAGTTTGTTTCTTCCCGATGAGATAATAAATCCACATGCTAGATTTCCGTGCGTAATAAATAAATTTTCTGTTTATTCTATTATGTAACAATCTATTAAGAAATATTATAGCACGTTAGCAGCGAATATTCGTAAACGTAGAAGATCCAAAGTTGCCATCAACCTACCGATTTTTCATGATAAAAAGACACCAAAACCTTTTATTGATCCTACAATTCCCAGAAATCGGGATCTTTTTCCAGAAGATAGAGAAGCAGCGCAAGGCGCAGCCCTGGTGGATCACATTTACATGGATGCAATGGGCTTTGGCATGGGTTGCTGCTGCTTACAAATAACTTTTCAAACCTGTAATATAGGTGATGCAAGGCTTTTGTATGATCAGTTAGCGACTATGGGTCCAATAATGGTGAGCTTTTCTTAAGTATTTGTTGGAATAGAATTCTGTTAATTATCGAAATATAAGCAATCTTGCAAACTATACGTTTCAATTTCTTCCAAGTATAGTTGGCTCTGACAGCTGCCGCTCCTGCATACCGAGGATATCTTTCTGATGTGGATTGCAGATGGAATGTAATCGCAAACAGCGTTGACGATAGAACACCAGAAGAACGAGGCATTATGGTATGAAACATTCTATGTATTTTGATTTTTTTAAAAATGTATAACTAATTGAACAATTTTTAGCCTCTAAAAAATGATCGTTTTACCATCAACAAATCACGCTACGATTCAATAGATTCATATATATCCACAGATGAGAGGTTAAAAGCAGAATATAACGATCTTCCTTTAGTATATGATGAAAAAATTTGTAAAAAATTAATGGATAATGGTAATTTTCTACTCTTATTAAATAAGTAAGTAAATGTTTTCTTTAACTTATTATGGATAATTCCGATCTCGTGTATATGAAGGAATCGATGAATTGCTAGCACGTCATATAGCACATCTATTTATACGTGACCCTCTAGTCATATTTGAAGAACTCTTAGATCAGGATGATGAAGTGTCTTCTGACCATTTTGAGGTGAGATTAAATAATTTCGTACGCATATCAAAATTACAAAAATGGATTTTGCAATTCCTAACCGTAAGAAAATAGCAATAATAAAAATCATCATTCCAGAACATTCAATCTACGAATTGGCAAACAATGAGGTTTAAACCGCCACCTCCAAATTCAGATATTGGATGGAGAGTTGAATTTCGTAGTATGGAAGTCCAATTTACTGATTTTGAGAATGCGGCATTTGCTGTTTTCATCGCATTATTAACGAGAGTCATAATGGCAATGAGATCCAATTTTTATATACCCATAACAAAGGTATTTTGTTTTGCTTTTCTGTTCTATTTTTTATTAGTGAAGGTTAAACTTGATTTTTTTATCAGGTCGATGAAAATATGGGAAGAGCACACAGACGAGATGCAGTTCTGAAGGAAAAATTCTGGTTCAGAAAACAACTTTTTAATCATAGTAAGATTATCATTTTTCTTATGATTTGTATGGCTAGGATCTCGGCACAGTAACTATAAAAGATTTAAAATTCTTTCTATTCCTAATTTTCTAGATAATTCTATATCGAGCAATGGATATGGCACACATAGATGTTCAAATCCCACTACCTCAATTAATAATGATAATAGCTTTTATACTAATGGAATGGACGGAATTACTGAAATAAATGGTCTCACTTCTCATTCCGCAGTCGATAAAGAATACACGGAAATGACAATAAATGAGATAATTAATGGCAATGTAAATTATTTTTTATTGGAATTGTTAAATAGAATACTTTATTCGAAAAAATTATTAACACATCATCTACGATAATAGGGTACAGAATTCCCTGGTTTAATACCACTCATTAACAACTATTTAGATTCCAGAAACCTAGATGAACCGACGCGAGCCAAACTAAATCAATACCTGGATTTTGTGAGCAAAAGGGCTAATGGTATTACCATTTAATTTATTTATTTAAATAACTATAACTTTCATCAGAATTAGTTAACAAAATCTATTAATTATTCTAAAGGAACACTACAAACTGCTGCTGCCTGGATACGAGAGTTTATACGTTCGCATCCAAACTATAATTATGATTCAGTCATTTCACAAGAGATCAATTATGATCTCATTAAAACTATTGAGAGAATGCAGAAAGGTGAAGTTAAGGGAGTTCCTAATAGAGAAAAAATATTAGGTGATATTCAAATATAGACATCATATTTCAGAGTAATTATCTATCGCGTGACATCCATAAAAACATTACGAACTTTTATAATACTAGAAATATTACATAATATAATTCATTTTGCGGGCAAATTGCGTTTTTGTCTTTTTTCGAGTTCATTCGCATATTCGCACACTATCAGATCAGATTTTTCTTGGCAGAACACTTTCTTTTCGTAGTTTCTTTTTTTATTTCTCTTTTCGAAGCAAGGAGCCGAGTCTCCTATGAAATAATATGTCATGTAGTTCTTTTTTCCTCTGTTCGAAGTTACTTTCTAAATATAATAGATTTTTTTCTTTATCTTTATTAAAAGTTTTATTATTTGACGATTCGTTGCAATTGTAAAGATAAGTGTAAAATACAAATTTAATCAATCCAATTGCAAAATCGTGTGTATCAATTCAAAACAAAACAATTTGTAAAATTTTTTTCTCTTCGAAATAAAAACTAATGTTGAAATAAAATATGAATCAGTATTATCTGATCTTCTGGATAAGACCAATTCTTATAAATGATCGGATAGTTTAACTTTTATTAATTTAAAATATTTTATATATAAAAAAATATGTATTTATTAGTTATAATTAATAAAAATATAAGTATTATATTATAATTATTATTATATTATTTAATTTTTTAAATTTTAATAAACTAAATAATAAATTTTATTTTTAATTTAATAATAAATTTTAATATATTAAGTTTTAAAAAAATATATAAAAATAAATTAAAATATTATATATAATTATTTTAAAGTTTATTATAAGTAAATTTCTTTATATTATTTATTTTATTTATTTTAAATTTTTTAATTATTAATTAATTATAAAAAAATTTAAGAGAATTTTTAAGAATTAAATAATTTTTTAATATAAA